ATAAGATATGGGGCTGATTGGTATCATTTTAGCTCTTATCGAGCGGTTTATCGGCCTAATTCAATCAAAATAAAACAAAAATTAGTCTTTGTATGTTTAAATATGTGGTCGATGTGCTAAGAGGGACGAAGCAAAAGAGACACCGTGATGGGTAAATCATCTGTCTAGAATCTTACTTACCTTTATGCACATTGGCCTTAGTCCATGTGAAAGATTTCCAATTGGCCGTTGTTAAAACAAACATTCGTCATGCTTTGAATTCTAGAATGCCTTAAAACCCAGGCAAAGTTGATGAAGCAGTGGTGTAACTGGTGTTGTTATCTTGTTTCAGACAGCAAATTGTGTCTTTTGTCACAGTTAGATGACTCCTTTCATTTGTCTTTCTTTTATTCTAATTCACTTTGATAGAGTACTGGAGGAAGACGGGTTTTCGATTATTTAATATATACATGGATAAAAATAAATTTTATATATATATATATATATATATATATATATATATATATATATATTCTGTGTTAACGGATTATCCGTTATGAAAATTGAATAATCTGCCCCCAAACTGATAAGCCGTTAATAAAAAAAATTCAATCTGTTCCCCATCCGTTAAACCGTTAACCCGATACCAATAAGTCATTAAACTTCGATTTCGGCTCGGTTTTCGGTTTCGGTTCGGTTTTGAACACCCCTAGTATAGTATATAGCTATACCAACAGGGCATACAATTGTACGTAAAGAATTTAAAAAAGATTTTTTTTAATTCGATTATTAAATTGAAGTAATATCAGTTGTCAATAAAAATTTTAAAAAATTCTAAAAGGACCTAATTGTGATACCGCTACATTATATAGTATACTATAATAGTATATCATTGGAATAAACTGTATTCCAAAATGGTATATAGTATATCATTCTGGTATACATTACAAATTCTTCTTCGCCATTTCAATGCAATAAATTATACATTATTGAATTAACCAAAATGGTATATAATAAGTTATCTTGGTATATAGAGAATTGGTTCATTCCTTCAACCCAATAAAGTATACACTATTGTAGTTAATTATATACTCTTGAATAAATTATTGTATCCCAAAATAATATACAATATACCATTTTGGTATACAGTACAAAGCTGTCTTCTTTGCTAGTTCAACTCAATTTCAACCCAAAATTTAAAAATCTACTCTAAACTCTCCGCCAAATTGACTCAAAATATAGCCACCTCCTCCAATTAACATTTCAAACATACCATGTCAGAATCAGATCAAAATAACCACAAATTCAACAAGCCAGATTTATGAGCTTCAAGCTTCAAGGTCCTCCAATGGTAGATTAATGTCTGTCACAATTAAATCTTCAAAAATCATCATTAACACCATAATCTACACATCATGAAGCAATACCCACTAAATTCCAACAATAAACACTTCAAAATCTACATGAAAATTCATATCTGAAATTTTAAACTTATGCACATGGAGTTTACATTCTATTTTATTTAGTTTGAAATATTGCCATAATTGAATTATGTGCTCAGCTAATTCAAATATTAAATAAATTAGTAGCTAATTCAATACTTAATTTAAAACTAAAACCGAAAGAAAGAGGGACAGAATAAAGAAAAAGTTTAGCTATTTCCAGAACAAACAATCTTGCAAAAAAATTAGAATTTAAAGAAAGTTACATTGTTTTTGGTTGATTAACCAAAAAATAACTAGGAAAGTTTGTCAGTTTGGCTATATGAGTCTCTTGTTACTGGAGGACTAGAGTTATGGTGGACGATTGGGTAATAAGTTTGAGTGGGGTGGGTATATGTCACACCCCATGAATTCATACGTAAGACTACGTCGTAAGTCAATTGATGTAAGCTCATAAATAAAATCATCTTTGAAAATTTTACAAAGTTAGTGAATTATGTTAACGTGGAGGTTAAAAATATTTAAGATCATGAATATCAAGTACCATGAGGGTTTGAAGGCTTAGAAGCTAAATGAATTGAAGAAAATAAGTTTCGTCGAAAGTCGACAAATTGGAACATTATAACATGTACTTTGTGGGTGACACTAAGGTGATTAACATTATAAGGAGATTATGTTATGAGTTATTTTAGTCGTATGATAGTCGTGTATTATATTTCGAAGTCAAGCGAGTTGTGGAACAAAAGTTGGAAAAGGTAATCACAAGTTCCATTCATAAACGTGTTGAAACTTTAGAAAAATTTAGCTGAGCTTTCTCCCAATATACTTGGAATTAGAAGATGCTATGCCTACCAAAATGAAGATCTACGAGTCTAGTTTCTAACACATTTGACCGTTCGTCGATACGACATCAGAGTAAAGAGATATTTGCGTTTTTGCGAGACTGCACAAGCAGCTTCCATGTGATCCACAAAGTCGGTATAAAACTCCAGCTTATATTTAAGTTCATTCTAAATCGTTTTCACTCATATTTCTCGTCTGAAACAGTTCCTAAACCCTCGTAATTTCTCTCCAAGGGTTCCTCCATGATTCTATGGTGAAAACCTAAGATAAAAACATGAATCCAATGCTAGAAACCTCGTGGGTCTTGCTAAATCATTGTTCTTCATCTTGTGGCTGTTTTGGAGTGTTCTTCAAGTGAAGTAACCTCAGGTTTCGTGTTTTTTCTTGTTGATTAAGGTAATAATCAGTCCCTCCTTCATATATATTAGATTTTCAAGGATAACTTGTAATGACCCGACTGGTCGTTTTGGAAATTTGCACTTTGCTCGGTATCGAGTATCTCCGCATGATGTATTATGACTTGCGTAAATCATCGGTGTTGGTTTTCAAGTTATCCGGGATCGATTTGGAAGAATGAACTTCAAGATTTGAGTTTTAAGTCGGAAGAGTTGACCGAGTTTGACTTTTTAGCATTTGACCTCGGAATGGAGATTCGTCAGTTTCGTTAGCTCCGTTGGGTGATTTTGGACTTAGGAGCGCATCCGGATTGTAATTTGGAGGTCCATATTTCAATTAGTCGTGAAATGGCGAATGTTAAATTTTGAGAAGTTTGACCGGGAGCGTACTTTTTGATATCAGGGTCGGATTCGGATTCCACAAGTTGGAATAGGTCCATGATGTCAAATGTGACTTGTGTGCAAAATTTGAGGTCAATCAGACGTGATTTGATAGGTGTCGGCATCGGTTGTGGAAGTTTGAGGTTTCAAGTCCATTAAGCTGGAACTGTTGTAAGATTCATGTGTTTGTAATGTTTGATGTGATTCGAGAGCTCGATTGAGTTTGTATGGTATTTTAGGACTTGATGGTACCTTTGGTTGAGGTTCTAGAGGCCTACGGTGTGTTCCGGGTGAGTTTTGAGCGAGTCCGGACCTTTTCGGAACTCTGGCATGGTTCTGGTGCCATGGAAACGCGGACCTCCGCAAAATTTTGCGAACCGCGGTGGAGGGGGCGCGGACCGCAGAATTTTTGTCACGGCTGTGCTCCAGGGGAGATCTGCAGATCCGTTGGTCCGACTTTGGAAGCCTATATCTTTTGATCTACAAGGAACTTTGAGATGATCCAAAAATGAAAGTTGTAGCCTATGTGTCTAGTTTCCGAAAAAGTAAATAAATCATCATTTGGACATATGTAGAGAATGTTATGGCCAAAATACTAAGGCATGTCAGTGCAGCCACCAAAAGTGCGGCCGCACCACTTTTTCGCGACCGCAGGGGCTTGGATTTTCGCGGCCGCGCCTGGATTTTCGCCGACCGCATAGTGGAGACCAGAGGGTGCACTATATATATGGGATTTAGGGCATTACTTCACATTTTTAGACCTAGGGAGCTCGGTTTGTGACGATTTTTCATGAAATTTATCGGGGTAATTCTAACTCACATTGGTTAATGTCACAGCTCCATTTTACCCGAGGGATAGGGTATAAGGGAGTTTTTTCCAATTTAAGTGACATAAATCGAAATGAGATTATTTTAATTTAATCAGAGTCGCCACTTGGAATAATTTATGGTGTCCCAAGTCACCGGTTTATTTTAAATCTCAAATCGAGGAAATTTAACTTCATTTAAAAGTCTGCGAAACCAGAAAAACTAGATAAGGAATTTTGTTAACCGGGGAGAAGGTGTTAGGCATTCCCGGGTTCCGTGGTTCTAGCACGATCATTTAACTATTAATAATTGGCCTAATTATCTGATTTATTACATGTTTTAAACTTATTGTGCATTTTTAACTTTATAACCGCTTTTAATTATTTCAACCCGCTTTTAGGATTTATGGTATTATTTCTTGAACAAGTTAAGATTGTCGTACACTTGCCGTTTTGGAACACACCGCAAACCACGCTACATGAAATGCATCCGCGATTCGCGACATGTTTTATTTTATTATTCTACAAAGTTGTTACAATTAGGTCACATGAAATGCACACCCGATTTTGGGGATTAGGTATCATAACTATGTCGCGGGAGTCGTACCCATAGTCACAATGATTTAATTTTCGCGCCTCAAGCATGCTACGAATATTTAGGTTTTTGTCTAAACTAATCTTAATGGTTGTAAGCATCTAAAAGTGTCTAATGATAAAATTACCAACTAATTTGAGGAAAATATCACTTAATAATGACCAGCCCAAGGCATAAGAGGAAGCAGCCCAATTGGGCTAAATAGCAAAAATTGGCCTAGTCGCCGATCTTAAATAACTGGGCCTAAAACAAGTTGTGTTCAATATCAATAAAATGTCCTAAAACGTACATTTGCCCAAGGTTGGAATCCAGTTCATTTCAATGTGAAAATCATAATATAATTCAAGTTTTGAAATTAATTACACTATATATGATTTACAATACATAAAAGAAATAAGTTTATGCTATAGTTCAAAAGGTAAGCCCATAGTTGGGGGTCAAGCTATTGGGTTTAATGCCCAGGCCCAATGGCCTAGGCCCGACTCGTTGGAGATTATTTTTCCCAATTGGGCTCATTTGCGTGTCTGGCCCAACCTGAATCGCAGAAGCAGAAGTCTAATTTTAACAACTGGCCCATATCCTTAACTATTGTGACATTACAAATTGCACTAATAAAGAAGCATTGCTATAACAAATAATGTAAAGGCAATATGACAATCAGAAAAATTTAAATTGCAATACCTAATACATGAATTACTACAACAACAACTAATCTATTACATTAGAATTCTTTGAGAAAAATACATCAACTAATTCTATTACAATGTTTGAGAAAGTCGACAGCCTAGTGAGCTTTTGCCCTTTTTGGATATCACTGATCCAACCAAGGCCTAATTCACCACCTGGAGCCACCAATTTCTGCGTAATAGTAACAACCAAATCGCAGCTTTTAGCTTTAGAAAAACATGCTGATTTGGCCAACTAGTGACCAAATCCACAAGTTATAGCCCATAAGCAAAGTGACCTCAAACAAAGCACTATGTTGTTATCATGTGAGTAGAAGAAAAAAGAAAGACAACTTCAGCAATCAAAGTTCAGAATCAGTATAAGATTTTGACTTAAAAATTTCAGACTTTGCCATTTTTTACAGAAGGAATTACAAGTATTACTAAACCAAATAAAGTGCCCATGCTAGTTCATTTCCACACTTAAACTTGCATAGCAACAAATTAATTAGGTCTATGACAATGTAATCAATCACTACATGAAACGACACATATTCATCACATATAATTGCATCTTTGTTGATATTGTATCATTCCAAATAGGCAGTACATCAAGAGAGGTAAAATCAGTACCTTAACAATAGCAAAAACCAGCAGTAAACAGATGAAATGTTGACTGAAACTTTAAAGAAGGAGCAGCAACCAAAACCAAACAGCAGCAGTAAGAAACCAACCCAGAAACCAAAGAAATAGCCCTTAGACTTCAAAAATCAGGGCACCTAAAGAAAATCAACCTAGGGTTCCAATCAGAAAACCAATGTTCTTAGCCAAAAAAAGTTTCAGAAATTCCTTTTTTGTAATCTGAAAATTTTAGGTGCAGCTATGTTGATGATGTTATGTGTGTGAATGAGTGAATGCCTATTCTTTATATAAAATGCATAAATATAGCATTAAAATGGAATATTCTACCCTAATTTCTGAAATGTCAGATAGTACAACATCTTTGGACAGTTGTTTGTCCCTTTTCAGCCCAATTCTAGCATTTTTCATGCTGGAAATGGGGACAGCTGTACATATGCTAGAACTTTCTGATATTTACTTAGTGTAAAACCCAATTTTAACCCTTCAATTACTGATTATTTCAATTCTAACCAGTCCTGACCTAAATTCTGATTTCAAAACCATTTGTGGAACTTCCTAGAACAATCTAGAAGATTCCAGCATTGAACTTTCTAATATTGTTTCAAATGTCTTTTTTAATTCTGAAATTAGTCTTAAGCTTAAAGGCATCCAGGGTTTAATCCAAACAATCTAAACCTAATTAGTGAATTATAAGGCTCACCTAATTAACCTTAAACAAAAACCGAATTTAAACAACTAACACATCAAAACAGTAAACAAACAAGAACTAGAATGAAGATGCAAAGAAACCCTAAAAATTAACCTAATTAATTTATAAATCAAAACAAACTAATCAACTAAATTACCATTTGGAATCTTATTGGAACTAAACTAATCACTGCATCTAAAGCAAAGAACACCAGAGAGGAATAATTACAAGAATTGAAACAAAAACGGAATAGTCATGCAATTGTAACAACCTAAAAACTAGCCTTAATCAGCCTAAATTCTATGCAATCGAAACCAACCTTTAGATAATTGTAAGATTCAGCATGCTTCATAAACAAATGAATCAAGTAAACAATACCAAGCAAAAGGACAAGAACTAAACTGTGATTACTTAAGTCATGCAGGCTAAAAGAAGAAAAAAGATGATTATGAAAGAAGAAAAAAGATAAACAAAAGAAGAAAGAAAAAAGAATGGAAAAGAAATTACCAAAACTTGCTTCGAATTGAACCAGTCATGAACTCGGACAAGCTTCAGTAGGGTAAAATGAACTTGGACGACCATTAATCGATTGTTCTTAACAAGAACAGTCGATTAATGGAAGTTTTGGGTTCAACCGACCCAGAAATTGAACGGAATCAGAAGGGAAAAAAACTAGGGTTCGGATTTTAGATCCAAGATTCGAGAATTTCCACACTTGTTTGAAGTCAACTGTTGTGATATATGGAGATATGAAGAGGAGATGATCGTCCGGTGTTAATCTGAGGCGGTTTGGAGGTACTCCGCCGCCGTAAGGCGATTTTCGGGCGGCGGAGAGGGGTGGAGCCGGCAAGGGGTGAGAGGGCGGCTAGGGTTTCTCTGTGAAAGGGTATAGAGACAGAAGTGAGAGGGGAGGGATTTTAGGGTTTGGGGGGTGGGGTACAGACAGTTTTATATTTATGAGTGGGCAGTTGCGAGCCGTTGGATCAAAGGGATCCAATGGCTGGGATTAAAGGGAAGCTAAACGGTGTCATTTTGATAAGTGGGGGTTTAGACAAGGTGGACTCAAATTGGGCTTGAGGTGCAAACGGGTTAAAAAGAGGTAATTGGGCCACCAGATTTGGTCTTTGGGTGGCCCAAATTCGATAACAACCTTTTCTTTTTATTGCTTTTCCTTTTTTTTCGTTTTCTTTAATTTTAAAACCCTAATTAAATTAATTATGTCCTAAATTAAATCATAAATTAATCTAACCTATAAAATTAAACTAATTATCTATTTATAATAATTACAAAATAAGTTAATCCTAAATTAATGAAGAGGAAAATACTAATCTAATATTAAAAGCTAAAATGTAGATATGAACAACATTTTCTATGATTTTCATTTTAATAAAGTAATTAACTAATCAATCCTAAAATATGAACACAAAACCTAATATGCAATGCATGAAATTTTTTACATTTTTAGGGCATTTTTCACGATTTAAACAAAATTAAGCGTGCACAAAAATATAAACAATTAATAAAAATACTACAAAAATCCTATAAAATTGAAAAACAATTTGGAAAAAATCTATTTCTTCAATTTTGTAGGAGTATTTTTAGTAGGGCAAAAATCACATGCCCACAGTTAATATACGTGAATATATCACTGATTTAATCATTTGATTAGTACTTTGAGGTGAAAATTTGGGGAAAATTGTAGAATCTTCATAAAATGAACTTTTGGGATTTGAAAGCCGATTCGAAGTCGGAATTGAGTGAAACTAGTATGGTTAGTCTCGTAATTGAATGGGTTGTCATATTTTGTGTGTGTTGTCGAGTTTCGAGGCGTGGGCCCGGATGTGATTTTCGGCCGAATCTGGGATTTGATGTAGAATTTGATCTTTGTCAATTGTAATTACCTCCTTGGGTTTATTTGATGTGTTTGAGTTGCTTTTGGCTAGTTTTGAGCCGTTCGGAGGTCATTACGCGCGGGATGGCATTTTTGGAGCATCGCTTGGCTTGCTCGGTATTGTTATTGGCTTGCTCGAGGTAAGTGTTTTGCCTAACTTTGTAGAGGGAATTTTTTCTCCTATTTGTCATTGTTGCTACATGCGGGGTGATACATATGTGAGGTGACGAGCGTATATGTATTTTCCGGGTCAATCATGCTCGGGGTAGATTGTGCTATAATTGTATCTTGTAGGATTACGTAACTTCCTTGCTTCATGCTTCACTTGATTTAACGATGTTAAGAACGTAGTATAAAATGTTAGTAATCAAGAATTAGCCCAATATAACTTGATCGAATTTTGTAGAATTCTGAGAATACATTGAAGTGTCTAATTCGGTCATCTCTATACGAAATCATTATTTCATTACTACGGCCCATATTCATGAGATACTAGGCTCTATAGTTGTGTTGTTGATCATTGTGAGAATTGTGGAAGTATCTGAATAATACGGTTCTCGAGGGTTGTTGAATCATTTTTGATTTGGAAAGTTGTGATTGGGATTTGTTTGAAATATTTGTTAAAACACTCTCTTGATGTTATTTGTGCTTCCTATCTTATTTGTCATTGATACTCATATGCTTGGTAAGGAAAAGTGTAAAATACGAAGGGTGATGCCGTGCCATTCATTGAGAATAAAATCACAAATGGTGATGTCGTACCATATTATTGAGAGTAAAAGCACGAAGGGTGATGTCGTGCAACATTATTGAGAGTAAAAGCACGAAGGGTGATGTCGTGCCATATCATTTGAGAGTTAAAGCACGAAGGGTGATGCCGTGCAATTTCATTTATATCATTATTCTTGTATGTTATCGTGAGGTCATGGCACGATAGGTGTTTCCGTCCAGGCGAGGATGAGGGACATGCATTATGTTTGATATCAGTCTTCTATGTATATGTTCTTGTCTTTACCTTGAACTGTTATTGTCATAATTATGGATCTGATATGATTTATTGCCATTGTTCTATCATGATCTCCATCTCAATTGTTGTTGTGTTGCTCATACCTTCTACTCGCTTAACATGCAAATTCCATGCCTATTTCCTACTTTTATAGCTATACTCATGTTGTATCTGTTCTGTTGCACCTTAGTGCAAGCCTTCCACCATGCTAGTCATTCATGCCCTTACTTGTTAACTTGTAAAGATCTTGTGTTTCCTTCTTGTTTACTATATTTGTACTTAGGCCTCCACTATGCTAGTTAATTGAAGTTAATACTCTTTGTTTTCCTATTGGTTATTATTACTCACGTGCTTTCCGCCTAGTCTTTTACTATTGCCGACATGTATATCCTCGTCCATTGTTGTTACTTGCGTATTTCCAACTTTGTAATTCCTGTTATCGTGTTTCTGTCATCTGGTTGGTTCTACTATATGTATACTTAGGAAGGATGAGTTGAACGCATGAAGGGTGTTGCCGTGCTAATTGATTTGTCATATAAATTTACTTATATATATCGTGAGGATGAGATAGAAGCACGAAGGGTGTTACCGTGCCATTTGACTTGATATCTTGGATACACTTCTCATACTAGGAAGGATTGTACATCTTCTACTGTAATTCCTGCTAGTAATTGTTGACTGTCTTGCAGAGTTGTATACGGTACTTTTATCTGTTATGTTTTGAACTTCCTATACTGTTAGTCTAATGTACAGGTTATAACAATAAGCACCTTTCAACTAAAAGCCTTGTCACTACCTCGACGAGGTTAGACAAAATACTTACCAGTACATGGGGTCGGTTGTACTGATACTGCACTTCTGCACGTTCCGTGCAAATTTTGGAGCGGAGCTGCTGGTTACGCCGGGTGTTGATTCGGAAGACATTCGTGCGTTTGGTTATAGCTTCCATTTGTCCTTGGTAGTTTAGATTATTTCTAATCTGTTTATGTAACCTTCAAACCAAACGTGTAGTTATTGGTATCGGTTTGTAAATTCCAAATCTTAGAAGCTCGTGATTTGTACTACCACGTCTTGGATAAATTTGTAAATGCTCAATTATCTATTCTCTTTTCTCTTATAACCTCAGTTGGGTTGTGTTTTTCTGTTAGTTGGCTTACCTAGAGGGTTGTATCTATTCTGTTGCACCTTAGTGTAAGCCTTCCACCATGCTAGTCATTCATGCCCTTACTCGTTAACTTGTAAAGATCTTGTGTTTCCTTCTTGTTTGCTATATTTGTGCTTAGGCCTCCACTATGCTAGTTAATTGAAGTTGATACTCTTTGTTTTCCTATTGGTTGTTATCACTCACGTGCTTTCCGCCTAGTCGTTCACTGTTGCCCAAATGTATATCCTCTTCCATTGTTGTTACTTGCGTATTCCCTACTTTGTAATTCCTGTTATCGTGTTTCTGTCATCTGGTTGGTTCTGCTATACGTACATTTGGGAAGGATGAGTTGAACGCACGAAGGGTGTTGCCGTGCTAATTGATCTGTCACATAAATTCATTTAGATATGGTGAGGATGAGATATAAGCACGAAGGGTGTTACCATGCCATTTGACTTGATATCTTGGATACACTTCTCATACCATGAAGGATTGTAAATCTTCTACTGTGATTCCTACTAGTAATCGTTTACTGTCTCGCAGAGTTGTATACGGTACTTTTATCTGTTATGTTTTGAACTGCCTATACTATTAGTCTAATGTACAGGTTATAACAATAAGCATCTTTCAACTAAAAGCCTTGTCACTACCTCGACGAGGTTAGAAAAAATACTTACCAGTACATGGGGTCGGTTGTACTGATACTGCACTTCTGCACGTTCCGTGTTAATTTTGGAGCGGAGCTACTGGTTACGCCGGGTGTTGATTCGGAAGACATTCGTGCGTTTGGTTATAGCTTCCATTTGTCTTGGGTAGTTTAGATTATTTCTAATCTGTTTATGTAACCTTCAAACCAAACGTGTATTTATTGGGATCGGTTTCTAAATTCCAAATCTTAGAAGCTCGTGGTTTGTACTGCCACGTCTTGGATAAATTTGTAAATGCTCAGTTATCTATTCTCTTTTCTCTTATAACCTCAGTTGGGTTGTGTTTTTCTGTTAGTTGGCTTACCTAGAGGGTTGAGTTAGGTGCCATCACGACTTGTGATTTTTGGGTTGTGACAAGGTGGTGTCAGAGCTCTAGGTTCATAGGTTCTACGAGTCATGAGCAAGTGCCTAGTAGAGTACTGCAGATTGGTACGATGACGTCCATACCTATCTTCGAGAGGCTACAGGGCATTTAGGGAAAAACAATTTCCCTTTCTTCTTTCCTCATCGTGTGGCCTCGTTTCAGCTTGAAACCTACGACTTTGACTCTTCCCAATCGCTCATATGTGATGTTGTGCGCACAATATTCGCTATGTGCTGACAATCAATGATGATGCAGATGGATTTTGATGGGCTATGGATGCTTGATTATCATTGCGATGTGTTGTCTAGCCTCAGAAGCGGACGCAGTGCTAAAATCTTCTAGTCGTTCATTTATGGTAAGCATAGTTTTGGGAAGATTAGCGGGTGGCCAGGCTATTGTCGATTTGAGTAGAACCGGTGGGCCATCTCCTGCATGATGAGTTTGGATCGTCTGTCTCGTATGAGGTTTCCATTCGGTGGAGTGCATATGTCGTCATTCCAGAGCATTTTGGGAGTTGTTTGACTATTGCAATGATTGGCGAGTGTTTGGCAGAGTCTTCGGGGTGTTCTATGACCGACATTTCATGAGTTTTGAAGTAATCAGCTAAATAGTCGTGCGGGATCGGGGCAAGATGTGGAGATATGATACCTTGGGGTGCCGATAAGGTGATCTATGGCTTCGAGCTAATTGGTGGAGTCTGCTAATGATGATCGAATTGTAAGATCATGGGCCGTATCAGTTTCCACACAGAGATTGCTTGGTTATTACTTTGAATGGACTTATGCTAGTGAAGCACGGGTTGCTCGATGCATATTAGTTGT